TCGAGTCTCCCCTGGTGCTTTCTGCCAGAAAAAACAGATGTCCTGGTAAATGTTCCACATACTTACAGTTGCTCTGTATAGCTAGTCTGTTGGTAAGGAAATGATGAGAGGCCTGCATACTTATCTATTAGTTGGTTTAGAATGAATTAGCTGTGTTTACTTTGCAGTTTACAATTCTGAGTTAAAAGTATTCTGTTTACCATTTCAAAAGTATCCTTCTTTTTGTAAAGTATTATTTATTCTTTTATGAGTGTCTATTTTTAATTCAGACACACAAAATGCGGAATCAATGCATACTACTACTTCAGAATAGATTTATTATAAAGTTAATGTTATTACTACAGCAAATTATTGAAAAATGCATCTGATGTAATCTGTAAGTATGTATTACGAAGGTGGTGAAAATCAGAGTACCAAAGTACAAGATATGTAAAAAGCATATTTGCCACATCATTTTCCATAAGTAAATGGAAGTAAATTCTTAGTTGTTATAATTCTACTGTATCTTTGATGTTGCACAATTGGAAAGAGTCCAAAATACTTAGGCAGCTCATAACTTGAGATATACATGCAGATTAGTAAACCCCTGCCTGGGGTTACAAAAACTGAACAGAACGTGGGAAACTACTGGACATAACAAGAGAAGTTGCTGAGCTTAACAAATAACTGAGTGAGTGGCTGACAAAAGTTACAGCTACTGCCATGAGCGATGACTGGATTTCACAGATGGTTAAGGGAAAATTTTGTGAGACACGAAAACTTCACAGATAATTAAAGGAGAAGAATTTGGGACATTTTGTGGATTATTTTCTTGCAATGCCAACAGAGCCTAGGTAACCATATCAGGTTATACCATTATCTAGGTAATAATATCAGAAATATGATATATACGAAATAGAATGATACCAAGATCTGGAATGACTCAAGGTCTGAGTCAGCAAGTTGGCAAGAGGTTCAGGATCTGGGTACGGATATCAGCCAGACCTAAAACTTATGCTGATATTTAAGGGATCTATTAATGTGGGTTTATTTGTGCGTTTAGAAAATGAGAGAATGTTTATGTTCGCTGGTGAACTTCAATATTGACTAGCCAGAGAGGTGGAAAACGTTTGAGCCATCATTGCTGTTTATGCTCATGTGAGTGTTGTTTGTGTTTATGTGTGGAGAAAGACACTGTTCTTCATGTTGATCCATGTGGGCACTGTGTTTGTATTGTGTGTGTGCGTGATGGTGTGTGCACCAGCTTCGCTACTGGCTGGATTTATAAACAGGAATGGGAACAACCTCCTTGGTCTGAAAGTCCACTGAATTCAGTTTCCCTTAATAATAACCACTGTGAGAGAGATGTTCAGTAACTGTTCAGTGTCTCCTGGGACTTGGTTCTAGTTCTCCTCCTCCCCTTACTATAGATGAGTTTAGTCACTCCCGCATATTTCTACCATGTTTATTCAACAAAACAAACAAAACATACAGGAATATTTTAAGTTCTTTGCTTTTCAAATGGTGATAGTTTACAGGTATCACAGTCAGTAACTGGAGCTTCACAGTATAGACAACTTAAGAAAAAATAATAAATAAAAGCCTCTAAATTCCTCCTAAAATTAAAAAAAAAAAAAAGTGCATTAATGAGAAACAATAGGAAACACAACACAGTGACATGATATGAAGCATCATTCACTCAAACATGCCCTATTTTTTTATGTTTATTTCTTTTAGGTCCATTTTGTGAGGAACCTGGTGAACCTTGTGCATCTCAGTCATGCTTGAATGGGGGCATATGCCAATATAATCAGTCTGGATATATTTGTGATTGTCCTACTGGTTTTCTTGGTCACAACTGTGAAATTGATATCAATGAATGTTCTTCAACACCATGTCAGAACAGAGGTACATGTATTGATTTGCCAAATGTAAGTATAAAATTCAGAGATACCTGTTTGAACATAGAAACATAGAAACACAGAATCACAGAATGGTTTGGGTTGGAAAGGACCTTTAAAGACCTCCTACGATGGGCAGGAACATCTTCCACTATATCAGGTTGTTCAAAGCCCCATCCAACCTGGCCTTGAACACTTCCAGGGATGGAGCATGCGCAACTCTGGGAAATTTGTTCCAGTGTCTCACCACCCTGATAGTAAAAAAAGTCTTCCTTACATCTAATCTAAATCTACTCTCTTTCAGTTTAAAACCATTATTCCTTGTGCTATCACTACAGGCCTGGTAAAAAGTCTCTATCTTTCTTATAGGCCCTCTTTAAGTATTGAAAGGTATCAATAATATCTCTCCAGTGACTTCACTTCTCTAGGCTGAAAAACCCCAATTCTCTCAGCCTTTCTCTAAAGCTATTTTCATGGTCCTCTTCTGGACTTGTTCCAACAGCTCCATGTCTTTCTTGTGCTGGGGTCCCCAGACCTGCACACGGTACTCCAGGTGGGGTCTCAGTGGAGTAGAGGGGAAGAATCACCTCCCTCGACCTGCTGGTCACACTTCTTTTTATGCAGCTCAGGATACAATTGTTTTTCTGGGCTACAAGCACACATTGCCGATTCATATCCAATTTTTCATCCACCAATGTCACCAAGTCCTTCTACACAGGGCTGCTTTTAATGCATTCATCACCTAGTCTGTACTGATACTGGTGATGGCCCTGACCCAGGTGCAGGACCTTGCACTTGGCTTTGTTGAACTTCATATAGTTTGCACAGGTCCACACCTCAAGCCTGTCAAGGTCACTCTGGATGACATCCCTTCCCTTTAGTGAATCAACTGCACCACTCTGCTTGGTGTCATCCACAAACTTGCTGAGAGTGCACTCAATCCCACTGTCTGTGGCATTACTAAAGATATTGAACAGTACAGGCCCATGAGGGATACCACTTCTTGTTATTGATCTCCATTTGGACATTGAGCTGTTGATTGCAAGTCTTTGGAAATGTCCATCCTGCCGATTCCTTATCCACTGAATAGTCCATACATCAAACCCATGTCTCTCCAATTTGGCAACAATGATGTTGTGTGGGACAATGTCAGCGGCCCTACAGAAGTCAAGATACATGACCTCAGTTGCCCTTCCCTTATCTATCAACACAGTCACTCCATTGCAGAAAACCATCAGACTGATTAGGCATGATTTGTCCTTTGTGAAGCCATGTCAGCTGTTTCTAATCACCTCCCTGTCATCCATATGCCTTGACAAGGCTTCCAGGAGGATCTGTTTTATAAAAGTGCCAAAACACTTAATTGTAATGTAAATTTTTAAATTAGCTTTGCATGCTTTGTGAAGAAACACAGCATTGTCTAAATGTGTATTTTTTCTGATATTTCTACAGTTAAAAAGCTCAAGTTCCACATTTTCAGTTCAGTTGCCTGGTGGTCACTTCAGGAATTAGCATTTTTTTTTTAATTTTTATTTTTTTTCTCTCTAATAAAATCTTCTGATACAAAGCATGATAAATGAGTCATCTTTATTAAATAGTGATTTTTTCCCTATTAGTTTTCCTGTGGCATCTGTTATTTTAATTCCTGGGGTTTTTTCTTTCTTTTTTCTTTTTATAAAATAGAATAAATTCATTCAGACTCACAAAGGTTTGATAATAGAGTCATGTCTGGTCATATTTCAAACTACATTGTCAATGTTCTTTCATTAGCATGAATATTGCAAATATCTGTGATTATACAGAACCAAAATAGTGAAAGAAGAGTTCAAAAGCTCAATTATGACATAGCAGTGATACATACTCACAAAGAGAGGAAAAAAGAGACATAAAAATTGGTGAACAAATTGTTAGATTTCTAAATTATGCAATCTGTCTAAATATTTTGTCTAGCAGATATACTAGCACATACTATTTTGTACAATCATTTCTATAGACAAACAGATACAGTAGTTTGTTTCACACACATAGAAATCTCTCAATATATGTTAAAATGAAGTTCCCTGGTCATGCCTTTAAGACTGATCCTAAAGAAACACCTGAACACTTCCAATTTCACCAGGGGAACAAACCCCTGTATATTTTTCGTTTACTTTCCTTACTGTCATCAAAAGGCCTCTGAGGGACATTACTTTCTATAGAAAAATAAGAGTGAGAGTGTCAGCTCTAAGGAATATTTTGTTTTGTAAAATAACTTGCTGTTCTTACTGTGTAAATTACAGATTGTGGTAACTGACAGATGTCTTCCACTGTCATATCTGTGCTTTATATTGAAGGGGAAAAAGGATACACATCATTTTCTTTCCTGCTCTAGTTAGTGAATACTTTTTGGTAACTAATGTACCTTGTGCAGTGTTAGCGTTTGATAGATGCAAATATTGCATTGGAACAAATTCAGAAATGAGAAAAAAAACCTAAATGAATTATAAAGCTCCTTCTTGATTCAGTTATGAAATCACAAAGCCAGGCAAATTTAGAACTGGTGTATTTCCAGCTAGCAAACTCAACTCTGGTATAATCTGTGCTGGAAGGCCTGTTCCACTTGTCCTAAATTATGTTTGTAACCTATTTGGGTCTAGGACTGCTTTTTGTTCTGTCTTTGTAGACTGTTTAATATGATGAAACCCTGTCCTAGTTAGGGTCTCTATAGTAATGGAAGCAAATACTAATTTCTGTATTGCCGTGGGTACAACAAATAATTATTTCTAATTTCCTTCTCTTCTATAGGATGTGGCATGTATCTGTCTGCCAATATTCACTGGCAAGTTCTGTGAGAAAATAATGAATCCATGTGAATTATTGCCTTGCTTAAATAATGCAACTTGTGTAGCTCAACAGCAGAACTATAACTGCCGGTAAGATTAGAAATTAATTTATTTCAGTACATCGTAGATCACTTGATATACTACTGATTGCAGAAAGAAAAGATATCATCAGTCACAGAGAACACAGAAAACTAGAAACTTTTCTTTTAACAAGTTTTTATTTTTGGTGCTCTACTGTGTTAGTTGTCTTGAAAATTCCTGAAGTGCTACAAAAAGATTTAAAGCATTTACAAAGTTATAAATTGTTTCATTATTAATTCTGTAAGATAAAATATATAAATCCTGACACACTGGTGACAAGTGAGACTACAGGTACCACTCCCAGAGTGTATGATGTTTATGTTGTTTTGGAAAGGATAAGTGATTTTATTTCTAATTCACAGACATGCATTAGTAGGTCTTAGATTGATCCTTCAAGAAGCATATTAAACAGTGCTTTATTCAGAAAACAATGCTAAAATTATCCATTTGAAAATAACAGAAGTGACCCAGTATCTAATTTCATTCCATTTTAAATAGCTTTTTAGATATTTTCTTACACCACTAAGGAATACAATTTTCCTCTTCCCATTTGCTTGGCTTTTATCTAGTTGCCTGGAGTAAGTTCTGCTAAGCATTACTGAAGTGCAGTAAACAACTTTCAAATTTTAGGATATTCATAAAAGCAGAAAATTGAAAGCTGTGGTACACAAAAGCCTGAGAACACATTATGAATGAACTTAAAAACTGCAAATACATAACAGAAGTATAGAACATAAAGTTACAGTCTTTCAGAAGAGATTCAGTTGAGAAGCCTGGAAATTAAAATATAAGTAGAATTATGTTTACCATTTTCCCAAAGAAGAAAAGATGACACAATTTTATTTATTCTTACACCTAAATACATATATACATACATACACACATACAAACACATACACAGTACTATATCTTCCCATATAGATATGTATAGCATAGAACCAAGATACAAGCTACTAATAACGTACTATTATATAGCCAGTCTTTTACATAGTATGTTGGTGCAGGAATTAGTATGAAATTATGCTTGAAGTACATTGAAAAATATGCATAACATGAACAATTAATATCAAGATGTAGACTGTCTTTCTTTAAAATAAAAAAAAAAATCCTGGCCCTGTGTACAATGCAGATTGAATAATTTATAATAATTTCATGAAGCACTGGTAGAAATGGTCTGTGCCATGGACCTCAGTGTACCGTGCAAATTGGTTAATAAAAATAGCTATGGAAAGGCATGGTGATTTAACAGTCTTTCCATTGATACGCTATGTTAGAATAAGAGTGGAAGTAATGATTTAGATCAATATAAAAGTAAAAATGGGCAATTAACAACCTATTTATATTAATTATCAAGAGAATCGCTTAAGTTATGTGGCAAAGCTATGTACTAGAGGTTTTAGCTTTGGGCTCAGATGGTACATTCCTGTTTACTGCTAATATCAAATGTTAAGATCCTATTAATATCAATGCTGCTTAGATTTTACCTTTAATATTTGTGTATTATTCATGCATTCAGTTGTGTTATCTGTAAAATACACATTTGACAAGACAGGCAAGACACGTTTGTGGAGAGCTTGTTTGAGAAATGGGATAGGTTGTAAGCTTATTATTTTTAACACTAGGAATGCACTAAAAATGGGAAATAACATCCTAGAGAGAATACTATGAAAAGAATAATGAGGAGTGTATCCTTGAACTTTGTATAACATCAAGTGCTTGGCCCTGTAAATACTGTTTAAGTAAAAAATTTGGATAGTGTTCAATCCATGTAGTTTTCCCTAGCATTCAAGTTGCACGCAGACTTTCTTGGTGAAGAACAAAAACTCTAGAAAGTGACTTATCTCTTCCAAAAAGAAATTTGTATGACAAGTGAGTTGAAGCATTTTCTGGAGGTTCCCAATTTTCTCTGTACAGAGAGGTACAGAGAAAGCCTGGACTGCTGTCCTAAACCAGATACTAAAACTGCAGACTTTTAATGTTAGATAAATACGGCAGCACTGGAACTTAGTTTCAACAGAATCATAGAATCAACAGCCCAGGTTGGAAGACACCTCGAAAGATCATCTGATCCAACCTTCTATGGGAAAGGGAGCTTAGATGAGATTATCTAGTACCCTGTCCAATTGTATATTGAAAACCTCCAGAACTCAGCCTTAGTTTTGCCATTCAGTCCCTGACGGCTCCAATTAGTGATTGCGATATTTTTAGTGTTTCTTGTTAAAAAATTGAAAATTATTTCCACATTTTTTTTGTGAAATTAAAATAATTTTTCTGCCAACTTAATCCCAAATATTTAATAAATGTAAATTCTGTGTATATTTATGTCTGTATACTTGGAAGGAGGCATTCAGGTGACAGAAAGCATTTTGATAGCATAGGAATCACGTCCTTCTCAGTAATTCAGTAATTTGGTTGTGAGAGCTGCAGTCTTGCCCAAGTCAAAAGTGCTGAAATGTAGAGGAGGTGCTGACTTCTAGAGAGGGCCAACAGTCAGCAGGTGCTATTGGTTTTAGGATTCAGCATTCTCTGTGTAAATTTATGTCTTCCATTAGCTACTGGAATAACAGAGGATTTTGGAAGACCTGTAGGAACAGTGGTTCAACTGTTTCAGTTTTGTTAAGTCAGAGACTTGGAAACTATCTGGCTGTGAGTCATGTTTTAACTCATTTTACTGGAAGGAAACCTACCATTAACTATGTTGCTTTATCCAGGAGGTTTGGAGCTGCTCATTCAAAGTTTTAAGTGGACGTTTTGTTTCACATTTGGTGATCATTGTCAAATACTGTAGGTTATGGCTATGTCTAGTTACTCCACGAAAAACCTGCATGTGTTTAGTGTAACACTACTACCTGATCCAGTTTTATAGCATTTTAACATTTTAAATAAATGTAATGGCATTTAACTTGCATGCATATACAAATTCAAATAATAGCTGTATTGACCTTTTTACTCCTTTTTGTTTTGTTTTGCTTGCCCCTATTTTATGTGTTTCTCCTTTTGCCCAAGCTGCATTCTGCTTATATCCATCACCATCTCAGCTTCTATCTACTTATCCTTTCTTCTTTGGGAAAGCAGTTGTTTTCCATTCTAAACATATAACCAAACAGACTCAATTTAATTTTCTCCACTTCAGTTATGATGTATGACTATCTTGTATCCTAATTCCATCCTTTCAGTCTTGATGTCATATACAACTTTGTGCTAAGAATCTAATAGTAGCATTTTTTCTTAAATGTCAAAATTTAAGGTGAATTCAAATAGGCCATGAACAAGAATATCCATCACAATAAATTGTGATTGTTTACTTTGTATCTTCATCTATTAGCCGTGTTCTTTAGGATGATAAAAAGTCACAAAAAATGTGAAAGGGTGTTCTGAAAAAATTTGTTCTGTTAGTGTCATCTTTGGAACTTTACCGTCAACTTTCTTGCTGTTAATTTATTCTTACCTTCTCTGACATTGCTATGTCTATTGCAAAACAACAATTAAAAATGGGAAAAATGAACGAATATAAAAATTAGAAGCAGCAGCTTCTAAAATTGGCTTACTAAATTATCCATTTTATGTAACAGTCATAGATTACCTAAATAAATTGAACCAAGAAAGCTAGGAGCTCTTTCACCTGATTTTGGATCATAGGTGAAAACAAATCAGGAAAACAAATGTTGCAATTGAGTCACTCTGATTTCATTTTAAGTGTTATTTAAAAATGGAATTAGAAGATTTTTTTTTTTTTAACTTTACATTCCTTTTATATATAAATGTAATATATGGTGCTGGTGCTACAATATAAAGGACAACAAATAATCTGATGATATGAGTACTTTTGTTTTGAGGGTAGGTGTTGTGGGTTTGCCCCAGCTGGCAACTAAGCACCACACAGCTCATTACCCCTGGCAGGATGGGAGAGAGAATTGGAAGAGTGAAAGTGAGAAAACTCGTGGGTTGAGATAAAGGCAGTTTAATAAGTAAAGCAAAAGCTGTGCACACAAGCAAAGCAAAACAAAGTCTTCATTCACCACTTCCCATGGGCAGGCAGGTGTTCAGCCATCTCCAGGAAAGCAGGGATCCATCACATGTAATGGTTACCTGGGAAGACAAATGCTATTATTCTGATCGTCCCCCCCTTTCCTCCTTCTTCCCCCAGCTTTATATGCTGATCATGACATCATATGGTATGGAATATCCCTTTGGTCAGTTGGGGTCAGCTGTCCCGGCTGTGTCCCCTCCCAACTCCCTGTGCACCCCCAGCCTCCTCGCTGGTGGGGTGGGGTGAGAAGCAGCAAAGGCCTTGGCTCTGTGTAAGCACTGCTCAGCAGTAACAAACACATCCCTGTGTTATCGTGCTGTTTTCAGCACGAATCCAAACACAGCCCCATACTAGCTACTACGAAAAAAATTAACTCTATCCCAACCAAAAGCAGCACAGAGGGAAAAATAAGTATTTAACTATCTGGTATCTTTGAATATGCTGAAATAAAAGTTGCTAACTATTATGAAAAACTCCTTTTAGCTACAATACAAGAACTGGAAATTTGTTAAGAACACACTTTGCAAAAATTTTGATTCCAAGTACTTGAAATGGTAGCAGAATAATTATAGGATTTACATACAGAGGAGGATTTTCAAGAGGAGGGTGAAGATTATGTAGTCCATTGCTGCTTACTTTTTAGAGAAGGTTTTTCCATAGCCATCCACCTCTGTCCAAATGGTCCTACACATGGACTACTTGAATGCTGTCCAGGGTTTTCTGGTGAAATCCAGACTGTTTAACACTTCACCAAAGGTTAATAAGTGATTTAAACTTCTGGACATGCTAGATGCCTCTGTGCGTCCCTCAGAGGCATAGTCATACCCACCGATTAGGCATCTTTAACTGATTTGAAAAATACGGTTAATTCAGATGCTTTCTATTGAATATTGCTGCCTAACTATTTGTTATTGAAAATATATCCTTTACTTTCGCATGCTACATAACTGTGAGAGGCTTCATGCATTCTGAAACCAAGGATGGTGATATTTTTTAAAATGGGGAAGCATAAGCAACACAACTGAATCTCCTATCCATTAGGAGCAAAAGCATAGAAAAAACAGAAGAAATTCTGCATCATCCTCATGATTTCCAGCTTCTGAGCTGAGTCATTAGACAAAGTACCCCTCAGAAAAAGCTAAAGAAACTTCCCATTACTTTTCGGTTCCTTCACAAACACAAATTTTTCAGCTAAATGGCCATTTCCTTTCTCTTCTACTTAAATCTTTTCTTTCCATGCTACCAGAAAGAGCCTTTAGACAGAGGATCATGCTAACTATGTCTGTAAAAACATATTGACAGGGATTATGTATCTATCAAAACACAAAAGAGAGTTTTTTACAGTCTGGATTTTACTTTTTTACACATTTTGAGCATGATATAAATATTCAAATATTTTTCTGCACTATTCCATTATTGCTTTTGAATAAGACTTGCTTACTATCCATATGAAGCTCATCTTTTTTCTTTGTATATAGGGAATTTTTTTAAACACTGGAAGGCTAGATAAGAAAAGGATCTTCTACTAATGACAAGTGCTGACATGAAGCAGAAGAAATGTCTGCAGTTCCTTTTACCATAGAAGAGTTACCCACAGCTTTGTTGGCATCACATGGAACTAACAAACTGTCACAAAAATAGAATGCTAGTTTTCTCCTTTAAAGAAAATACCAAATTGCAATTAAGCAAACACAAAAACAACCATGCATTGTTCTCTCCAGAGATTCCTTACATTGTTCCTTACATACCTAAGCATGTCATTTTTGACTATTCTTTCTTAATCATTAGTAATGATTGATGCTAACTGCTTTAAACCTCATTTATCATCATATTTCTAATTTTTCTCTCTGATGGTTTAATTGAGCCATGCATTCTAACAGGTTTCCAAAACCTCATTTATAGCTTTTTATTAAATATTACCTCATTCTAGATTGTTTTTTGTTTCCAGAAGATTATATGAAGTATTGGTATGAAAATGCTTTCCTTAATGAAAAAAAATATTTTATGTAGTAGCAAAAATATCCAGAATCATGCAACTGATTTTTAATTGCTTGAAAACATGTTCTGTTTATTTTAAATAACATGAGGTCTGTTTTGTTACTGCAAGAACATTATTTAATAGAATTATGGAACATAATTAAATACAATTAACTTTTAAAATGCAAGTCCTCTAAAATACACTGGTGTATTTGCAGCTGCATGCCAGGATTCACTGGAAAGAACTGTGAGGAAGTAATTGACTACTGCAGGCTGCTCAGCATCAGCTGTCTGAATGAAGGATTGTGTCTTAATATAATTGGAGGATTCACTGTAAGTAATTTAATACATGTTAAACTAATTCAGTGCTCTAAAGTATAAAAGCTTTAGACAAACAGAACTTGAAATGAATTCATTACTCTAAGAGACAAGAGGGACATACATTAATGTGTTTTATTTATTTAAATCAATAACGCAAGGACGATTCACTTGGGTAATATGGATTTTTTTATTTCTTTTCTACTGAGATTCTGATTTGTACTATGTCAGGTAAGAGAACTGAAGAGTATTTTTATAGTAAAAAGAATATATAACTAATTGTGGTCCAGTGCTATTATCCACACAGATGATAATCACAACTGTGTTTCAGTCTTTAAAAATACATTGCTTGAATTGAAAATATCTGTTGCCATTGTTTTAAACAGAATCAAATTAGTAATCTAAACATAAGCACGTTTAAACTTAATACAAACTTAGAAGTTTGATGACAAAAATGCAGTGCGGTGAGGTTGATTCCAACTGATAATTTGAAAAAAAAGTAACTTTTCTTGTTTTAACTCTCAAAATAGCTTCTGAAAAATGTTGAGCAAGATCCATCATGTACCAAGATTCTTCTGGCCATAGCTTGTCAAAAGAGAGGAAATACTAGTTTCTCTATGGCAGTAATTAACAACTTAAAGGTTACTCTAAACAACCACTGATTCTGGAAATAACAAGAGTTTATCACAGAATCACAGAATGTTTGAGGTTGGAAAGGACCTCTGGAGGTCATTTTGTCCACCGTTCTGCACAAGCAGAGCCGCCTAGAGCCATTTATCTAGTGCCAGTTCACTTATCTGTTTGGGTGTTCAGCCAAAATGTATTAGGATTGCTGTTACTCCTTGCTTCAGGGAGTAGCAAGAGTAGTCTAATCTGTAAGGGAAGGAGAGCAGGAACCAAGGGTGGCAGCAACGCTGGCAGGGACAGTGTCCTCACCAACAAAGGGCACAATCTCTCAATACCCACAAGAACACTGCAGATTTGCAGATTCAGCCAAAAGTCCAGTGATCACCAGACAAGTACGTAGTGATGAAGTAGGTTTGCAGTCAAACTGGGTAGTCAAGTCAGCAGATCAGAATCAGCAAGATACAAAGCTGGATACAGGCATACATGACAAAAAAGCTCTGGAAAGGTTCTAGTGCGAAGGCCTGAGCTTAAATGCAGCTCATGAGTAAATGAATGAAAGTGTGGACATGTCAGAGGCGAGTTCTGTTTTCACACTAGGGTGATCCAAGGTGACAGCGCTAGGTTGCATCAGAGCTGACCTTGAACACAGGCAGTTAAACCTGTGAGACAGGGGAAAGAGGTCACCAAAGAAGAGTGCAGAGAAAGATGATTATAGGCTGGTCATGCCAATAAGAGCCTGTTGATGCATTCAAGGTCCTGACAGTTTCTCTGAATATTCCTTGCATGTAATTATTCATTCAGTCCAAGTACTGTTGCCTTTTTTGTAGTCAGAAAAGCTAGAGAGGTGTTGATATTTTCTCTTTTCACCTGACTGCTTGCATTTGCTCATGTTCCTTGAGTCTTACTTGATCTGAAAACTGCTATATACATGTGATCAAGGATTGTTTCTCCTAGTTACTTATGGGAATAAAGAGAAAAGAAACTTCCAGTCATTTGATCAAAATGGTCAACCCATATTTTTGCACCTTGTTCTTTGTGCACATTCTAAGTCAGATACCGTTAGGGACTTTTCAAGCGTCACTAAGAATTAAATTCATACCACTCTTGACTACATGACAGTCTCCCAGTTGCTGCATCTTGTCCTTTCCCTTAGTTCCTGAATATAATTGCCAGGAGCAGCTGTTTAGATTGACCCATTACTCATTCAAATACTTGCACTTCCACAGATACGTAATCAGATCTATAAGAGAATTTTATTTAAAAGCATGATAAAGTTAGTGAAGTAAATACCTGTAAATGATAATTTCAGAAATTAATGAATTCTGTAATACTGAAAAAATAAGTATAGCTGCTAAATTGTTAATTCTGATGAAAATTGTTTTAAAATTTGTGTTTTAAGAACATTTTTAATGCTACCTATAAATATATCTTAACTAGAGCAACAGTATATAAATCTACTTTAACACAAAATCTGAGGTTATTTGCAAAATATTCCATAACACAGATTTATGCTAATAGAGTACTAAAACATCTGTACATAGAAGAACATAATTCTTGCTTTGTTGAGTATACTATATGTAATATACCACGGAATAATAAAATAGATGGTGAGGAATACTCTCTAGAATTTGCCTCTCCTCATTGTTGATAGCAGATGAAACAAATACTGAGCCCAGTTCTGCTGCACTGAACTAAAAGTGTTCATGAAAAGATACAGTGATTTGAAAATGTTTGTGTCTCCCAGTTAACTTACCTACATGATAGAAATACTAGATTCAAAACAGAAACACTGCTTTTAGCTCTTTTCGACTACTTATGTCCACTTCTATGAAGCAATTGCAGAAGTTACAGTAAAATAGAATACAAAAGTGATATAAGTAATCAGTGAGTACAATGTATATGACATATTCAGACATCAAAGTGAATACTAATTTAACACAAAAAGAAATTAAAAACCAATTTTTTAGGAAAGCTATGCTAGTAGTTAGTAAGTATGCTAACATTTGCTGTTTGGGCCAAAGCAAAATAGGTTTATAGCAGTAAATGTTTTCATAAAATAATCCTCAAAAATATACTACCATCACCAGTATAAGATGTGATACTTTCTTAACAGACACTGAATTATGCTATAAGATGGCACCAGATGACCTGGCACGTCAAAGGTTGGATTTTTATTTGTTTGAACTTTGATGCCTACAGAAGTGAATGGTATGGTATAGTACCTGATAGAAAACTGGTATGATGACAGTCCTTTGAGATTGGCAAGATTGAGCAGAAAAAGGGAGGAAAGCATGAAGAATAATAAAGAGCCAGATACAAATTAGTGGAATTTTTGTTGAAAATATACATTATACTGAACCACAGTTGAAAATCATTGCCCTTTTCCTTGGCAGTTGGTTTGTGGAGTGGTGTCTTGATCTGCAAGATAAGCAGTTCTACATCAACTATAGATTAACTTCTCTTTGAAGACACAAACAACTATGGATTCTGTACATCCTTTTTTTTTGTTTCTCTTAGTTGGAACTTTCTTGGTCATAATTTGTTTTTTCCCCATAGAAAATATGTATTTTCAGTATTATCAGGAAATCAAATACTGATGAGTAATTTGAGAATTCCAGATGAGATAAATGTGGCTGTTAGATTGTTGGGTGTTTTTTTTTACAAAAGCAGATTTGAAAATACTGAAACATTCAATGCATTTGTATAAGTGGCATTAAGCAGTCATCTAAAAAAAAAATCACCTAACAACAAAACCCACAACAAAATAATTTTAAAAAAATCAAGGTGTTGAATCTTGAAATCTAATTTAAAAAAATATTTTTGTTTTGAAATTAATCTCTAGTTTAGTTCCACAGAGTAGTAAATACTTAGAATTGAAACAGTATAATTTTATTTTTTCAGTATGGCTGTAACAGTTATTGGCACAAGTCCTTGATCACTAATTAGCATTAATTATAAGTAATTGTAATATTAATAGTCACTCTGCTTACATTTATTATATTCAGTAATTTACTATGTTTCTAAAATTATTTCTACCTCTGTTAAGAAATCCCTCTAACTAATGTATGTTAACTTTACACTAGGTAATCATGCTTAGTTATAGGAAGGATTTACTGATGATGCTGTTGTGTCAGATAAACATGTGAATTATTACTTCTGAGGAAATGGACCTTCTCCTTGCGTTTCATATTCTCATATTTCATAATTTTATATCTCAATTCTCATATCTCATATTTCAGAGTACAGTTGTAATAGTAACAAATAATTTCCTTTGTTCTTCCCATTGTTGCCCATCATCCTGGGAACCAAAGTCATGATGTATATATTGAGATAGGATTTATCAATAGAAAAATAGTGTGTAGTTGCGTAATTAATTTGTTAACATAGCTTAATGAAAACAGATCACACCAGACAAAGCAGATTTAATTAGATGCCGGACAGATAGTGATGGAGAAATATTTTCTACTGTGATTCACTCATTAAGCAAAATAAATCATTTAATGGAACAAGTTCAGTTCTAAGGAAATAAAAATCTAGACCTTGATGACACTTTAATGGATATAGCCAATCAGATGAATTGACACAAAAAGTTTTGTTTCCAAATAGTTGCATGTTCTGCTTTTTGTAGTACACACATCACACATACCCTGCTCCATCCAGATGAAGCAGAACATACCACAGCTTGTGTAGCTGGATGTGCATGTTGTGGCCAACTGCCAAGATGACTGTTAAAGACCTAGAATGCTGTTTAAGATAATTTTTTAATTTCTTTTTTCAAAATTAGAAAAGGCACAAACTGATTAATATATTATCACATTATTTGGCTTATAGGCTTGAAGATCTGTGAAGTAGCTGTTATTCTAATTTTAAAATTTTACTTAGGTTTTTTTTGTAAAACATATTAAATTAACTAAAAACTGAGTGAATAATCAAAGAGGAAAATAATTATGAATTGGGAATTGTTGTCCCTTGTGAGTGTTTTTAATGGACCTCATGGCAATTTGTTTTTGGACTAGTGATTTGTAGTACTTTGACACAGGATAAAATACAAAACTTTCTGTTTAAATGTGCAGATGACCACAGAAAATGGTGGTCATTAATAATACGCAAATCTGATCAGGATTTCTTGCTAGGCTATACTACTTAGAAAAAAACCCAAACCAACATATTCTAAGAGAGATAAATGCAATGCTGTATGCACAGGAAAAAGAGCATGAGTTACACAGTAGTGACTGTTTCCTGATAGTGACAAAGAAGACAACTTTGAGCTCAAGGTGGTTATTAAATTTGACACTACACTATTGATGAAGACAGAAAGACAATCCCTGTAGTCATAAATAGAGCACTTCTATACAGAAGCATTTGTAAGTGGTCATACTTCTGTGACTGTCAGTGTAGGGTACATCATAGGCAGTTCTATCACCTAAATTGTTTTAACAAGGCTGAAAAACTGGAAAACTCTGTTGACAATGAGTTTTATGGAAAAATAACATTTTAAAACTATATTCTCAAAACTACGTACAGATTCACAAAGGTAAGCCAGTTCATGGGCTATCAGTTTTTCTCAGAAGAAAAACAAAAGAAGAGTTGTATTTAAAATATTTAACTCTGGGTACCAAAAAATGTTGAAGCCACATTAGCAAGGAAGTGCTAACAGTATTGTGCATGGTTTTGTGCAGCTGCTTCTTCTATGCACTGCTGATTATACCAGAGGCATTTTCAAAAATTGTTAGGTAATAAAATATGGTGTAGTGCAGTGTACTAGCAGTTTTCCATCCGATCAGTGCCAGGTCACATCTGTCCTGTCCTAGTGAATAACTTCACCAGACATTAAAATTCATGAGGCTATACTACAGTGGGATCCAAACCCCAAAATTCCTGCAGAAGGCTGAAGGCTGGAAAACTTATTGTGGATTGCTTCTAGTAGTCAATGCAGCAGACTCATTCCACAGATATTAAAAGGTTGGGAAAAGGATTATATTTCCCAGAGTTGCCATGAATAGTCAAAACATAACCCCAGCACCACCACCACCACTTTGTACTCTGTAGAAGGTCAAAGATATGCTGTTTACTTTGTTAGCTAGTTTCTAAAACACAGAAAGATAAGATTGCAGCCTCGCCTCATTTTAAGAAATCTGGATATCATTTGGACATATCATTTTAACAGGGGACAAATACAGTGTTTGAACATTACACATCTTTCTTTTTCAAAAAATACTGCTATGTAGAATTCTATAATTTACTATTGATTAGTCAATTACTGCAAGAATCCTGCTATTGAATTTTTACTCTTTTGCAGCTGCAATGTTGGAATCACTTTTTAAAATCTATATAATCACTGTTAAACTTCTGAAGAAAATATAATATACCTTATTTTTATTTGATATGCATCACATAGGAAAATTTTTAATTAATACTATCCGGATATGGCAACTTTATCCTAAACTCTTCCACCTACTCAGTATTAGAAGACAGGGGCCACTGTTTTAACAAAAAATTTAAATTAAAACAGGTTTAACATAAACCATACTTTTACAATTACTAAAGTGTGAACCAATTGCAGTTTCCAGCAGAAGCTATTCAATAAAACTGTCTATCATCTGCATTATTTTGACAATTTGATAGCCTGCTTCTTAAAAATATTTTTTAAAAAATTTGCCCATGGAGACACAATTCAACAGACATTTCTATTTCCATGGCAATTTCTATTTTCCTTAAATGTTTTTTATAAGTGAAAAGTCAGTGTTCTTAATTTACAGTTGATAGTATTTCCTCAGTGCTTTTAATCTGAGTGTCTAAAACAATTTATGGGTGTAGGTATCTATTATTCTTATCTTTACATGAAGACAGGGAAAAGATGAACAATTCCCAAAGGACAGCTGACAGGGAAGAAAGAGCTGTTGTTTCTTTCGTGCTATTCATACTGCTGCCACATTTTAACCACCTGGTGACATGCAGTGGTTTGGGTAGACTTCTGGTGAATTAGAATGGCTCCAGCAAAGCTTCTGGCACAAGGAGACTGGGCAGTAAAAGCAGGTAAAGAATCACCTGGGGATGTAAAGCTTTCCTCTAGGTCCCAAAGAGAAATCAGGCATCTAACTATTTGTCCACAGCAAGTGGCTTAGATCAAGGAAAAAATAATTATATCTGCTGAAGATCCCTTCCCCCC